ATCCCTGCAGCGACCTGTGCTACCAATGGCAGATTAAAGGCTGATCCCAAAGGCTTGCAGTGGGTCAGAGTTTACAAACACAAAGGGGCTTTAATGCAGCTGGGCTTGGGAAGGATCGGTGCCTCCACGGGCAATGGACGGGGGTGGTGTCCTGGGCTGAAAGGACATGGGTGCTGCATGGGATGTGTGCCTGGATGGGAGAGACCAGGACTGAGCTGGTGGAGCTAGGGCTAGGATGGCACAGCCCTCCCATAGAGAGGCTTCTCGTGGGGCTTGTCAGGATCCTCGGGTTGTGCACCCCACTGCCCAGATCCTGTGCCATGCTTGCCACAGACTGGCCTGGGAAGCTGGCTGTCGGCAGCGTAAGCACAGCGGCACAGCCCAGGTACCATGATCAGGTGTTTGCTTTCAAGGGACGTGGTGCTTGGATGTGTTTTGTAAGCTGGGACCTGGCTGCTGTGGCTGCTCTCCACATTGGGATATGTACTCTGTCCATCTCTGCATGTCCTGGTACCTCCTGGCTCACTGAGCATCAGGAATAACACCCCACTTTCCCTCTTCTCTGGGCCGTGAGCTTCACTGGTCCCCACACAGCCTGGCACTGATCTGCAGACAGGAGCTTCTTCCTTGGGGTCACAGCAAGGTGGTTGTGCCCTGCGAACCAGCCTCATCCTATGGGTCTTTGACCCAGGTCTGGCCCGGGGCTGGGTCCCAGTGGGGAGAGAAGGCTCTGGCAGGATCCCAGCGCTCCCTGTGGCTGAACACAGGGCATCGTGTGCCCAGCCGATAAGAGAGCAGGATGTCCGAGCTAGAAGTGAGCCTGCTGCCCTGCCTGCCCCACACAGAAGCCATTGAACTTCTGCTGGAGTCCAAGGCAAGCAGGCAGCACCGATGGCTGCATTGCTGCCGGGCAGGAGGCTGTGAAAGGCACAAACATCTCAGCGTTGTCAGGTACCCTGCAGCAGCTCCAGGCTGTGTACCACTTAAAATGTGAAAAGCTGAGGGTGGAGGGGGCAGACATATAGGGCAGACCCTCTGGTTTCTCTCCTTATTGCCTGGGGTGTCTCTCACTGTGCAAATGATCCTGAGTCCCTTGGCTGCATAGTCTATCCCTGTGTCCCTGTGATGAAGTCTCCTGGGAGAAGCCTGCTGCATCGGTGTCTTTCCTATGTGGAATTAGCAGCGGCCCGTGGCTGTGCTGGCTCCTTACCCTGCTGAAAGCTGCTCCTACCCTTCCTCTGGGGCTGCAGGACATGCCGAGCAGCATGCTGGTAATGGCAGCGTCTGCCTGAACTCGGCAGGAAAATGTTGTTGGATGGTGTTGGATGTCAAGGAGGGAAGGGAGCTGACGCTTGCGGCAGTTCCAATATCCCAAAATGGGAGGGCCGAGAGGGAGGAAGCGACAGGGGGAGAAAGAATGAAGGAGAGAGCGAGTTAAAGGGGGAAACTCGGCTGGATTGCAGGCTGCTGAGGGAAGGGGGTTGGTGTTTAGTGGCCAGCTAGACTGGAAGGGCTCTGTGTGGTCGAGTACAGAGGCTGTCGTGCCTGCAAGGGCAGGCAGCTCCTGTTGGTACCCTACTACGCTTTTGCACTGGGCCCCCTGCAAGGAGTCCTCTTCTTGCAAGTTATCTCCCAGTATGGTCTTTACAGCAGCAAGGTTGTTTCTCCCCACATTTTTGGGAGTGCTTTGCAGTACCTACCTGGGCTGTGGGTGCTTGGAGGTAGGGCAGGGCATGCAAAGAACTGCAGCACCCACTGCCGAGGTGCAGCCACGTCTGTTGTGGTGAGCAGCAGCAGCAGTTCAATAGAAAGGAGACCTGGCACCACGCAGCTTTTCGAGGGAGAAGACGCGTTCCAGCCAGGAGCGTGGGAGGCAGGCTGAAATTATGCAAATTGACATTTGGGCAGGGCATTGGGTTAATGTTCATGGCAAAGGGCTACGAGGTTGTGAATGCCCCCACGTGGAAGGGACCAGAGTATTGCAGGGCTGCTCCAAGTGATATTGAAGCCATGACAGATGCTGAGAGCCCAACCCAGCACCTGGGCTGGGCTTGCCTCGACGCTCTCTTGCAGCACTCGGTGCATGTGCCAAGGTGGCCCAAGCCTGCACAGCTGGGCTGGCAAGATGCCTCCATGAGTGGGTGGCCTGGCTGTGCCGTAGCTGCACCTAGATCCACGGGATGGGGAAACACGCTCGGGTGGCCTCAGTGCACAGATAGGTGTTCATGGGTCCTCTTGGCTCTGCTGCCAAGAGACCCCTGGGGAAAGCTGTTGTGTTGGGATGGATTGGACTGACTCCTGGATGTAGCTGCAGCCTTTGGGGTGTTCAAGGCTGCTGAGCTGAGTTGGTGGGAGGCAGCAAGGAGGGTTCAGAGCCACCTTGGCTGTGGGAACAGACAGATGTGGGGGGGACATGTGAGCCTTGGGTGGATGGGACGGTACTGACACAGCATGGCAGGTGCCAGCACGGTGCTATTGCTCAATCTATGATATAGTGTTTGAGTTGCTTTCTGTCAAGGCAGAGTCCCTGGAGTGAGCGGGAAGTGGGGTGATGGGGCAGGCTGTGCCAGTTGAGGCATGTGCAGTGAGCCAAGGCACCATGTGCCAATCCTGAGCTGCTGTGCCTTGCCTGTGCCAGGGGTGCCCTTTGGGGGGGCTCCCCACGCTGATAAGCACCCTCGTGCTGCAGGAGGGGGAATCCTGCCTAGGAAGAGCAGCAAACATATCTCTTGTGTGCAAGTCATGACCACCTCATGCAGACAGTGCCAGGTGGCGCAGGAGGGTGGGGTGTTTCCTGAGGAGGGTCAGTGTACTCTGGATTTTGGTGCATAATCAGTGTCTGGTGAGCAGGTAACCTTTGTGTGAGCAAGGTGGGCAGGATGAATCTCAGCTTGCTGCAGCACAGCTGTGTGCATCCCAGGGCAGTGCCATGCAAGCAGGCATGGTGAGGGCACTGCAGCCTGTGCCGGGGCACAGATGTTCCTGCCCTATGCAGGCAGCCATGGCTTGTGCAGCCCTCTGCTTGCTGCTACTTCTTCATATGCCTTTGGGATTACCCCGTGCCTGGGCAAGTGACTCCCAAGCATCACTCCTGAGTGTCAGAATCACTGCAGAGATGAGTCCCACTGGCGATGCTAGAGGGAGCCCCAAGGCCTCTTCCCATAAATGCAACTCCCGGTGTCCCTAAGTGCTCTTCAGCCCTTCCCAGCCCGGTTTTGCCATGGCCATCTGCTCTCCAGGGCAGCAGCTGCACCAAAAGATCCCAGCACCCATGCCTGGATGCTTACTGAGAGGAGGGCAGGATCCCGCTGGGTTTGGGGCCTCACATAGGATGTCTGGGCCTGGGAAAGTGTGCCTCTTCCTTTCTCACCCTTGAGCTGGAATCCACTCCTATTAATAGCAAGCGGCCGTTGATAGCCGTTGTCAGCAGCAGGGATGGGGACTAGTGCAGCGCCTGCTGAGTCCCTCCTGCGTCCCCACCAGGCTGGCAGATGTTTGGCCCTGCCAAGGGACAGAGATGGTGTTGGGGCTGGACTGCAACTGCTAAATGCTCCTCCATGTCCTTGCACCCTGGGAAGCTGATGGAAGTGGGTGTAGGTGCTGCCCCTTGCTGCTGAGTGCATGGACCCCTTCACCCCAAACCTGTCCCAACCTGGTACCCTCTACTGCTGCCCTTGTAGACTGGGATGTGCCAACAGCCCTTCTGCTATAACAAGCATGCTGGTAAGGACAAGTTGGAGGAGGAGCCTGTGAATTACCTGTTGTGCCAGTCAGGGCGGGGTCATAATCCTTACAGGCCATGTTTCTCTGCTTGGGGCAAATCCAGGCCCTGCATAGCTTTGCCTGGAGCTTGTTGTATGCAGAAGGGCTGGTGATAGCCAAGGTGTTTAGTTGGGAGCATCTGAGAGGAGCATCTGGGGCACCTTTAAGGCCAGTGCTGGTGATGCGCCGGGAGCCCAGGCTTTGCTGGCAGCTCTCGAGGAGAGTGATGGTGTAAGGGCTGGTGTGTGGACCACTGTTGTAGCCTCAACACCTGCCCCAGGAGGGCTTCGATCCCTCTAGATCTGCACATCAGGGACACCCCCAGTCATGGGACAGTCAGGGTACATCCTGCCCTGCTGTGGACACTCTGTGCCCTGTGGGTGACATGGGACATGCAAAGGTCCTGGCATGGGCTCCCCCATCCCCCCTCCTGCTTTTCCTAGGGAAGGGGTTTGTGCATGGTAGTATCCTTATGCAGCTTGGAGTGGGAATTTGGGTGGTTGGGCGAATTGGGGCAGGGGGCTGCCAGGATGGGAGCTGGGCATTTGGTCTGGCACATTTTCCTGTGGCAGTCTGCCCTCATGGTAAGGGCACTCACTGATGAGGAAGACAAGGTTTTGGTGCTCATTTTCTTCCTCTGCTGTGAGTCCCAGGGCTGCTTTCCCTGGTGGGAGGAAGGTGTCTGCATGATGCAATGCAGCTCACTGCCCAGACTCCTCATGGTGTGAGAGCTGCTCTTCCCCACACCCCCTCCAGTGCTTCAGCATCATGGGAGTGCCACCAGGACAGCTGCTTCCCAGGCTGGTCTTGCTCACAGAGCCTGAGCAGGGAAGCTGCAGACCTGCTTCCTTAAGTGCTTCGTTTTGGGACGGTGGGAGGTTTTGGCTGCTCCCGAATAGCTGCAAGAGCTGCTCAGTGATGGAAGCCAGTATCTGATTTTTCCATTATAAGGATGATAAAGCGTCAAGCCCTGGGGTTTTCCCTCTGGCCAACAGCTGCAGGAGACCTGGCCCTGCTCAGAGGCAGCAGTGCCCTCTGGGAGCATCCCCCTCACCAGGGCAGGGTGAGGAGTGGGAAAGCAAGTCAGGGAGGGGGATTGAAGGCAGTGGGAGCCCAGAGACCTGCTGCTGAGGCTGGGAGCGCTGCCTGGCAGAGGTGTGTTTGCTGCCAACATTTCCCTTCCATTCATGTGGGTTTTTTCTCTTTTTTTATTCTTTTTTTTTTTTTTTTCCCCCAAGGTCCTGGACACAGTCACTGGAGCTATGAAGGTAAATACCCTGCAGTTACTCTGGCTTTTTTTCTACCACCTGGCAGACTCCGGGTCTGAGCCAGCCGTGGTTAATGATTACAGGGCTGCTGTGCACACTCCATGGTTCCCTCTTCCCTCCTGCTTGACCCTGATGCTTCAGCAGCGCCCAAACCTGGGCACAGATGGGCTGAAGAGCCAGGGGTTGCTTTGATTTGAGCAGGAAGCAGCAGCTCTACTGAGGGTTTCCCCAGCCCCCTGGGTGTGGGAGGATGCCCCTCAGGGCAGGGCTCCTTCCTGAATGGGAGCTCCCCTGATCCTGTGCCAAGCAGGGAAGCAGGCTGGGCTCTCCAGGCTGGACCTGCAGACTATGCTGGGACTTTAACCTCCCCAGGGATTAGCTTGTGTCCTCACCTCTGTCCTCTGTCACCCTCCCTCCCCATCCTGCCTGGCCCTGCCCTCCCATTATGGCTTGTAGAACTTCTCCACAGCATCCATGATGGGCATCACTGCCATGCTAGCACAAATGCACTTCTTCCTGCTGCGGTGGTGGGCCAGACTAGGGGGTGGCTTGGACCTGCTAATGCCCAGCTCTATCTTTACAGGGGTCCTGCGAGGGCTGAGCTAGGGACAGGCTTGAGTTTGCACTGGCCCAAGACATGCTAGAAGCCATCCCCTGCAGTGTAATGGGAGGTTTCTGGGGCATCATTTTAAGCCCCACCCCAGCCATGTGAACTGGCCCTTTGCAGGGCTGTACCAATGCAGTTAACAGCTGGGAACCCATCAGACCTCTGGCTGTAGGCTTGTGTGATTCCAGCAGCACTGTGGTACCTCACCCAAGTAACAGCATGGGTGAAGTGGTGAGTCAATACCTGCCAGAGGCGAGGCTGTGCAAGGCAGCAAGCGTGTGATGAGCTGCAGAGCAGCAGCTCCTCAGCTTGCCAAGTCCACTTGTAAATGATCTTCTTGCCCTCTTTCCAAACACCCCAAAAATAGACTTTTCGGGCAGCTCACTGTACTCTGAGACCTTTCATGATACAGCTGCACGCAGTCACATGGTGGCACAGAGCTGCTCCCAAGCTACATGGAAACTAACCTTACATGCATGGCTTATTCCCAAGCCAGTACCTATCCCCTTCCCCACCACCCACCAAACCTCCCTTCTGGTGGGCTCCTTGCTCGGGTGTTCTCACTGGCACCTCCGTCCCTTCCTCCTCATACCAGACCGGGAGCACTGGGGTGTGGACTACCCGTACTGCGCAGGCACCATGCAGTCGCCCATCAACATTGACACGTCCAAGACCATCTTCAGTCCCGAGCTGCGGCCGATCCAGCTCTCTGGCTACAGCCTGCCCGCCAATGAGAAGCTCAAGCTGAGGAACAACGGACACACAGGTGGGTGCAAAGGCACAGGCAGAGGCTGGAGCACAAGCAGAGCCCAGTCAGCCTCTCCTAGCAGGACTGGGACGCCCTTCCCCTGGACTCTGGGAAAGGGATTTTCCTGCAGGCTGTAGTCATCTTGCCTTTAAGGCCAAAAGGGAAGCATTGGGCCATTGAGTTTTTACAGGTCCGTGAGCTTTCCTGGCTCGAGGGGGAAGCCAGGAGATGGAGAACTTGCCACTTGGTGCCTTTGAGAGCTGGCTCCAGGAATTTGTTAAAATCCCACATCCCATGTGTCCCTGGTATTTCTGATGCAGGTTTGCAGCCACTAGTTCCTTCCCTGGGTTTCACTTTCAGAGGACTAGTCAGTCTTCTATGTGACTTTGCCTTTAAGGTACCGGTGCCTGTCTTTTAGGACACAACATTGGCCAACTTCTTTAAGTCTGTGCTTCAGGCTGCTATCTCAAGATCTTAAGAAATTTCTATAGGCCTTTTGCTTCACTTCTCCAATTTTAGAATGTTTTTTTGAAATTCTGGACACATTATTTTAGTCTCACCATGCCAGACAGGGAGGAAAAACATGTCTCCTTCCCGCTCACCACCCCACAGCTGGGGATTGTTTGTCAGGGTTGCTACCAGCTTTTTCTGAGAGCAAGCTGAGTGTTTTGTGCACACTGGTGTCTGCCAGTCCCTGAGCTAAGAAAAGGTGCTGGAGAAAGGGACTTAAAAACTCACTAATGGTGCAATAAGGCATCCCCTTGACCTGGTGGCTAGTGAGATGGAGCTGACCTGTGTATACAGAAAACTCAACAGGTCGAGCTTGCTGTGCATTGTCAGATCAGCCACGCAGTGCGTGCACAGAGCTTTATGTTATGGCCTCCTGCCCTAGCGTGCCTGCAGAGTCGAACTAGTTGAGCTCAGTAGTTGCTATTTTAGACACCCTGGCATCTGGTGTCGCTTGGTGTTTAGAAAAGCAGTCAGAGCTTTTTCACTGGGGTGGGTGGGGGAAGTAGTTTCTCACATGCTTATAAGATGCTTTTTTTTTATTATTCTGGCAACTACCAGTCTGCTTTATGAAAAGCCATAAACAAATAAAAAGTGGCAAGGCCAGTATGATATTTGTAGAGTTACTCCTTTTTGTAATACAAAGTGTATAGACTGTATAAGCTCTTTCAAGGGCCTGAAAATGACTCAGTTAACTAGTAGGAATGCAATGATTTAGGTATCTGCTTTCACATTTCTTTTGTATAAATGCCCAGGGAGGGAGCAGTCTTCCACTTCCCTTATTTGAGTATTGTATCTCTGAACCTAGTGTCAGGGAACACAGGAGAGGACAGATGACTCACCACAGCCCTGTTACGTAGTTAATCTCGAATCTATGCCCTAGCTTGGTGATGTGACTAAGGGACATTTCACCTATAAAGAAGGAGGAAGGAAAAGAGTTGGTATTAAAAATGAGGAAAAAGTGCTTAGGATGGGACAGGCTTCCTCAGGGCCCAGGGATGCTCCTGATATTTTTGCCCCATGTCCAGGTAACTCAGCTTTTAGGTTTGCCACACTGCTGCATGAGTCCAAGATAGCTGGCTAAACCACATTAAAGTAAAAGGCAAAACCAAGTATGTATTTACTGTACCCAAAGAGGCTAAATTTTAGCTCTAAATGCTTTCAAAATATTTAATGTTTCTGTGCCACCATCTTCAGTGCTGTCAGACACTTGCAAGCAGCTTTATTTGAAAGGTCCCAGCTTGCCAAGTACCAGCCCTGCTCTCATAGGTATTCACCGCTCTGCCAATATCTTTCTCCATTGATTTTTGTCCACTGTCTCTGTATATTAGTCTCACTTACTGAATAAATTGTTGGATAACATTTGGCTTGGAGCTGGCCCCTGGGAGTCTCTGCAGAGGGGCTCTTCACTTTCCAGCATTTTCACAGCAGCTATTTTTGAAGCTGATGTATTTACCGGGGTGTCCTACAACAGTCAAAAGTTGGACCCTGCCACATTGGCAGAGCTCAGGTTATTGACTTGCCTACAGCCTCACGAAAGATGGAAAGCAAGTTTGTTTGTTGTGAACCATTTCCACAAGCCCAGGGTGAATCTGTCCCTTCAGACATCTCCTCTCTGTACCTGTGGGATGGACTGGGCTTTGTGTTTTACTGACTGGACTGACCTCTTCCTTCTGCCTCTGCAGTTCTCCTTGAGCTGCCCGAGTCACTGGCCATCACTGGTGGCTATGCCCAGCAGTACAGAGCTGTGCAGCTGCACCTGCACTGGGGCTCCCCGTTGGGACCTGGCTCGGAGCACACTGTCAACAGCCGCCGCTTTGCTGCAGAGGTAAGGAGCCCTCGCGGCAGTGGATGCACCCTCTTCTCTGCTGATGCTGGGCAGGGAAGGTGCTGGAGTGCTGTCTTGCTCTAGCCCATGGCCCTGGTGGCCACTGGATGAATGCTGTAACCCCTGGCCAGGATTGCTGCTCCCCAGGCAGCTCTGCAGCGGCAGCTCTGCAGCAGCAGAGTTCAGTGTAGGAGGCCACATCTTGGTGCCAAGCCAGACTCATGCTGCAGCCTGCAGAGGCGAGGAGGAGACCAGCCTCCAGGATGCTGTGCCTGCAAGTGGGCTGGGGCTGGCTGTGTGTGAGCAGCCTGTCCCTGTGCTGCAGCCTGGTCCCGGGCTGATGGAGCAGGAGCTGCAATTGTCCCTGGGCTGGGGGAGCCAGCTCCTCGGGTGGCTGTGAGCAGCCTGCTTTGGGAGCTGCAGGGACTGTTTACTCTGTACACACCGTCCTCCTGCTCTGCCAGCTCCCATCTGGTTTTATCCCTCCTTCTCTAGCTGCTGTCCTCAAACTGAGCCTGGCTCTGCTGTACAACCCCCCAGTATGTAGGGCAGAGTGCCGTTTTGCTGTTCCTGACCAGAAAAGTTCCTATGGGCAGACCTTTGTGCTTGCTGACTTGCAGCAGTACATTTCCTCAGTCCCACAAACATACTCTGCTCCTAGGAAGGGTGCTTGTCACAGGTGCATGTCTCTCCCAGCCCTTGCTCTGGCAGGCTGTAGCCCTGCGGGGGTGAACACCTCCTGGGGGTGCCCATCCTGCATAGGGATTGCATGTTTCCCTTACAGATCCATGTGGTCCACTACAACACCAAGTATGACAGCTTTAAGGAGGCAATGGTCCACCCAGATGGCCTGGCTGTACTGGGAGCCTTCCTGGAGGTGAGTCCCGTAGACCAGCCTTGGGTGAGAAGGGGTAGGAGCAAGGGCAGGGTCGGACTGTGGTGGGCAGAGTCAGGCACAGTTTTGGGGACTTGCAAAGATGCAAATGCGTCTGGGGAGAAGGGAAGAGAAAGGGCAGTCCAGAGGTCAGAGCAGCCCTGATAGGAGGAGGGTCACCAGGATAGGGTTTCTCTCACAGGGAGTGATACCGCCCTGCTGGCACTGCCATCACCAGCTGGTCTCCGTTTGGCCCCTGTCCTTGTCATTACTGTGGGGTCTCTGTTGCAGGTTGGGCCAAGGGAGAACCCATACTATCAGGAAATACTTGAGCATCTGGGCAAAATCCAAAGAGAAGGTAAGGCCCTATCACACCCCTGTCTCAGGGGCTGCAGGCAAGCAGAGAAACTCACTGCACAGCAGAAAGAGGCTGCAGCAGACGTTTGCTATGGTATGTGAGGAGAGCACTGCACAGCTTGTACAGAAACAGCTCTCCAAGGTGCCCTCTGCTCACTCGTACTATCCCCTGCCTCCAGGGCAAACCCACCGCTCTTTTTCCAGTGCACAAGTGGCAGCAGTGTTGACCCTGGCACATGCAGTGCCAGGCTGCCCTTGATCTCCATGCTGGTATTGCCTGTGTTCTCCAAGGGGTTGCCCTGGTCTCAATCCCATGGTGTTTCTTCTCCCAGGTGAGGAAGTCTTGGTGCCTGGATTCAACATTGCAGGTCTGCTGCCTGCCAACCTGAAACTCTACTTCCACTACAATGGCTCTCTGACCACCCCTCCCTGCTACCAGACAGTGAAGTGGACAGTCTTCAACCAGACCATGCTGATCTCTCATGACCAGGTCCATCAGGGCAATGAGCTCCCTGCTGGGTTTTCCCCACCCTCTCCCTGCAAGCAGGCACTGTCCATGCTGGTCCCCTAGGGCTCACCTGGCTCCCAAAGGTGGGATGCACCCTGCTCTGCTCACGCTATTCTCCTTCCAGATGTCAATGCTGGTGATGAGCCTGAGAAATGATGACAGCAAACCTCTGCAGAACAATTACCGGCTGGTGCAGAACCTGCACGGGCGACACGTGCTGGCGAGTTTCCAGACTACCCTCTTTTCGGTGAAGCAGCTGCCTTCTGGTAAGGAGCATGTGAGCATGCTCAGGCTGCACCCAGCTGCAGGGATGCAGAGACAGGGCAAGGAGCAGTCAAGAAGGCTTTGTGTCTCTTGCAGAAATGCAGCATTTGCATGGATTAGCCCTGGCAGGCCACTTACAGCAGCACTGGTCTTGGGGTCCTGCTCTCCCCCTTTTCTGCACTTCTCTCACCCTGCCTGGGGAAGATCAGTTTCTAGGAACTATTTTATCCTTGGTCTTGCAGAATAATGTTAGTGGGACTAGGGGATATACAGTCAAGGGCAAACAGCCAGGTCGTAGCATTCCAGCTAGCTTCTTCATCCTCAAACACAATAGCTAAATTCAGTAGGAGCTGCAAAGGTACAGGCTTGCATTGAGCACCCCACTGCCAAACCCTGCAGGAGGGGCAGGGCAGGGGACCCCTCCTGAAGGCTGTGCTCTGCCAACCAGGCCATGCAGCCATCCTGGCCAGACGCACGGTCCCCTGCCTGAGGCATCCCTGTCTGCTCGTCCTTGGTTTGTCCTCGAAGGCCTTTCTTGTGCTGGTTTCCAGCAATGAGTAGAAATTCCTGTTAATCCTCAGGTGTGACTATCGCACTGCATCACTGAATTCTTGCCTGTTGCTGCTGTCTGAGGTCACTGGCGTTTTTCTGTCCAATATCCTGTTCCTTTTCTGTTTTGATGACATTTCCTATACCTTGTGTCAAGGTGGCTCATAGAAACAGCACCCAGGCTTGGTCCCAGGCCCCTGGGCAATGCCTTGGTAACCACACACTGTGTGCAAGGCACCTCCCTTCACTGTCCCACCTGCAGCCAGCTCACTAACCGGTGCAGGCTTTTAATCACCGTGGTCTTCAACCGGGCTAGCAGTTTCCCATGTGGCACTGCATCAAATGCTTCACTGAAGTTGGGAGAGATAAAATCTACTGCATTTTCTTTGTCTAGAATACCACTTATCAAAGAAGGATATCAGGTTAGGCTGGCATGCTCTATCTTTGGTAAACCTGTTAGATACTTTATCATATTTTCCATTTACCTCCAAGCCTTTCTTTTACCACTTTCTTGCAGAAGCTGTTCCAAAGCCTATAGCTGCTGAGGCTGTGGTGAGGGGGGGGGAGTTGCCAGGCTCACTTTTTTTTTTTCCCCTTCCTTATTTACTATGTCTATTCAACAACTCCCACTTTAACAAAGCCATGAAGCCCTTGTTCCTGGAGTACCAGGACATTCTCCCAATACTCCTGGATAAGCATACTGGTCCCCTGCCTTGTGTGCATGGGATTGTTTGGGTTAGCTCCCCACCTCTGTGCTGATAACTGCCTGCTCAGATGGAGTGTTGTGGGGGTCACACCTCGCTTTGCTTGCAGCTGCACCTCCTGCACTCACACTTGTTGATCTTTCCCAGTCACCCCCAGTTCAGAAGAGCCGCTCCCGCCCCTGGCTGCTGAGTGAAGGTGGTGGCTTTCCCGCAGTGGCCGCACAGCTGAATACGGCCCGCAGATAGTGCCACTCTGTGCGTGATACCTGAGCCAGTAGAGATGATAATGCAGCTGTTTAAAAGCCATGCTGGGTAAATATTTGCCTGGCATGGCTCTCGCCCAGCGTGTAGGGTCACCAAGCCATCCCCATGTGGGGTGCCCTGCTGGCAATGGCTGCCTGCCTCCTCCTGGGGAGCTGCTCACCATCTCAGCTGGGCTCACCCCACACTCTTGTTGGGGTCTCCTGTGGGGTTTGGTGAAGTCATGAGGTGTTGCAGTGCTCAGCACCCTGCCCACCCACTTCCTGGGCCGTAGCAGCAGCGGTGGGTGAGTTTCTGGCTGGGCTTGGTGAGGTATTTGTGTGGACTGTGGCTCAGGGATCTTTTTTGTTTTGATTTGTGTTTTTTGGGTTTTTTTGTTTCCCCTCTTTTACCTTGGTGCTTCTGGCAGCATGCCAGGTCTAGGCTTCCCGTAGCAAGATGCTGAGGGCTGCTGGGGATCCATCAGGCAGCTCTCCCCTGCCTGCTTAGGGGTGATGGGGAGACTTGCAGGCAGCCCTGCTTTGGCAGCGCAGCCTTGAGCCCTGCAGATTTGACACTTCCCTCATCAAACACGTCGGGCAACCTCTTGACTGTGCTATCTCTCTCTTCCAGGTAATGACGGCTCAGCAGCAGCAGGTAGGAGAAGGACTGGCCCAAAAGAGGGGAGGGTGGCTGGGGGGTGTACTTGCCTTGGAAGGGGGGTTGTCTGTCAGCCATGTGCTGAGCTGGGGAGCAGGCAGCCATGGTGGGTTTGCAGGGCTGCCCTAGCATCCAAGCAGCTGGCTTTCATCCTCTCATCTTTGTCTCCTTTGCAGAAGGACACTCCAGCTCTTCATTTCATGCAGGTAAGCGTGCTCAGCTGAGGCTGCTGCCTTCGCATCCGCTCTGTCTTTGGGCTATGCCTGTTCCAGCCTTACCCCATCTCCCTTGGCTGGTAGCCACAGGGGACCATGCCCAGTGTAACATGCTTGTGCTTGGCTTGCAGGGGACGTGCTGGCCGTGCTCTTCGGGGTGCTCTTTGCCATCACGGCACTGGCCTTCCTGTTGTATATCTACAAGCACCGCAGCCAGAATGCGCGGTGAGCAATAGGGAGCTGCAGGAGTAGGGGGCCTGGGGGGTAGCACGGGTCCAGGGCATGAGAAGCTGGGGGTTAAGGGTGGTCTCGGGTAGCAAGATGGGTTAGCAGGGTCCCCCTGCCTGCTCTAACATTTCCACTTCCTCCCCCACCAGGCTGGACTCACCGACCAAATCCAAGGTCATCTACACGGCAGCCACCACCGAGAACACCGCATGAACCCTGCACCTCTGCGGCAGTCCCTGCCCACCGGTCAGCCTGCCAGCCCACCTCTGCTCACTTCCACCCCAGGCTGAGGGAGGCCAGCACTCCAGCATCCCTCCGCTGCACAGGCTCCCCCAATGGACTTCTTGTCTGGGGCAGCATCTGGTCCCAGCAAATATTTTTGTTATAAAAAAAGGTAAAAACGTATTAAAAAAAAAAAAAACAAACAAAAACAAACCACAAACTCCAAAGTAAAATCCCAAACTCCCATGGTGCCAGCTCTCTCTGCTGTCCTTGTGTGAAGCTCTAGGGCACCTAAGGGTACTGACGGAGCCAGATCCACAGTGGAGAGGGGTGTGCAGGGACCCGTTCTGCACTGGCACAGACAGCATCAGCCTCTGTACCCCGGGCAGCACTCCAGAGCAAGCAGTGCAGGGCTCCTTGCACAGCTCAGCCCTGCCCTCCATCGCTCTGGGACTTCTTCCTCCACTTATTTGTGCAAAGTGTTGGAAAAACATAGCTGGGGCTTGGTAGGGCTGGAGAAAGGCAGAGCTGAAGGTGGCAAAGCCACCACTTCCTCGCTGGGCAGCCCCCACCCAGCTCCCCTTTGGCTCTACCACAGGTGGAGTGGCCCTAATTCCATGGCTACCTCCCCCTGTTCTTGATGGCTCCAGTGCAGCTGGAGGCAAATGCCAGGGAGCTCTATGGCCATGCTAAAACCAGGAGAATGGGGCCAGATCTAGGAGAGGGGAGGAACCTGCAGGTCTCCAGCTCTCAGCAGCCTCCACCCCAAGGGCAAAACTAGGGCCCAGCCCCTGTTAGGAGGGCAGAGCAGGAGCATGACCTCCAGGCAGCTGGAGTCTACAACTGCCAGACCCTCCCCCCAAGTCACACCAGCACAAGCCACTCTCACCACTGCTGCAGGGTGCTCGCACCCTCCCCATGAGGGCACCGCTGGCCGCACACAGCCCCGCTTGTCTGTGGTACTTCTTTTTATTGGTATAAAAGCCCACTGTGGATAAAACTGCCTTCTCAGCCCTGAGCCTGATGGCAGCTTTTCCTTCCCCGCCCTGTGGCACAGCATCAGGGCTCGTGCCTGCCTGAAAATCCCCCTCCAAGGGCAGGAGAGGGCAATGATCCACTGGAATGGCCCCTTGAACCCCCTCCCCAAACTATGCTGGCACTGGCTGAGGCATTGCATCTCCTCCTGAGCCCTCCACCACCCACCATGTCCACAGGGCCCTTTGGGTACCGTCTTTTTCCCCATCTTCCACCCATCCTGGGTGCTGTCAATCCCCATGGGTCCCCCAGCACCATCCTTCCTGCACCAGGATGCTGGCTCACTGCAGTTACCGCAGTCCAGCGCCAGGGCCGCAGCTCCCAGGGCAGCAAGGCTGGGCAAACAGGTGGGACAAAGTAGCACCACAGCAGTCAGCGCCGACACCAGAGCACAGCAGCACCCTGCAGTGAGGAGGCAATGCTGGCCACCCCACTGCCTGGTACAGGGGACGGCATGTCTGCAGCAGGGGGAGAAGCGGTGGGTTTCTTTGGGCTCAGGTCTCCAGCACTCCAAGGCAGCATCCTTCCCAGGCAGGCTAACTGGGGCTCCACTCATGGCAGGGCCAGCAAAGCCAGATCCCCAAAAACTGAGCTGTTCTCCAGGGGCTCCCAAAGGGGTGTCGGAGTGAGCCAGTCCCAGCCAAACTGGTTGGCTGGCTGCCACAGCCAGACCCCAGCACCTGCCTTGCTGGGACTGGCCGGAGTCCCCCAGTCCAGGAGAAAAGGTATTGCAGAGAAGGTGATGGCTGCTCTTGCTGGCAGGATGGAGGGGAGGGCAGGGATGGCTGGGGACAGGAACATCCCATGGGGCCTCAGGATCCCAGCTGGGGGCTAGCTCCGCTCCGTAGACCTGCAGGAACCAAGAGGAGAGTGGGTCAGTTTTCACCAGACTACTTACCCCATCCACTTTCCTCAGAAGAGGCAACAACCCAACCACGGACCCGAAATCCAGCTTCTCCAGTCTGGAGAATGACGCAATTGTTCTAGCCCTGGGGACACTCTCTCCCAGCGCTGGTCCTGGTACCCAGAGGGACCCAGAGCATCCCCCATCTCCTTTATGGAGCAGGACTTACAGAGCAGGAAGCGCCGCAGGTTCTGGGTGGATCCCCCTGAGAGTAGGTAAGCCCAGGCAGCAGCAGCGGCCATCAACAGGTAGGAGGGTACCAGGCTGCCCACGTACAGGGGGTTGCAAAATGTCTGGGAAGAGAGGCGGGAGAGGAGAGGAGTGAGCAAGCAAGAGAGGACAGGGACAGGATGGGTGGCAGCATCACCACCTCAACGAGCAGAGCAGGACAGGAGACATCAGCTCCAGCATTCGCTTCGTGAAGGGCCAGCAAGTCCCCCAAACCCAAGTGCTTCACTAGTGCTGTAGGCTCTTCCCCCTCCAGCACGGGGACCAGCAGGCACCACAGCCACCCCTGAATACAGGTCCCGGAGCAGAGCTCTGCTCCCAGCTACTCACCGACCCCGAAACAGCGAGGTGCATGACAACAACCGCCATGATCTCCCACCAGCGCCGATGCTCACAGCCGTGGAAGAAGAGGATCCCCCAGAAGGTGTGAAGGAAAATCAGCACCATGGTCATAAAAGCTGCAAGGAGAAGCAGAGGGGTGTCACCAGGGAATCACCCGCCCTGACCTTGAGGGAGGGATGGGTCTTGGGGAGGGATGGAGAGGAGCTGGGAAAGGGCAGTAAGGGCATTGCTGGGCCAGACTGGGAGGTGGTGGGGCAGACCCCAAGTGTGGGAGGGATGGGGGAGAGGAGCAGAGAGTGTCACAGGGGACAGAAAGAAGGGTTTGGCTCAGACAGATGTGACAGCGGCCTGCAAGAGGCTCAGACAGGTAGAAGGTGCAGCACGGAGGTGATAGCATGGAGGGGAGACTCCAGCCCTCCCAGGTCTGCCACCTCTGTGGAGGGGCAGAGATGTGAATGAAGGGTGCTGGTCACTCACCTGAGGTGAGGAAGTAGAGCTGCGAGTCCCCGTGGATGCCCACGGTGCCAGGCCCTAATGCGTCTGCCAGGAGATTGATCATGGAGAAGGCGCCGCTCATGAGCCCAAAGCCCACACCAGCCACTGCCAGGACAAGGACACACCGTCAGGCCCTGAGCCTCCCAGAGCCACCCCAGGCACCTCCCAG